GTGGGAGCGGGCCGCCGGCCCCCGCCGCCGCGCGGGCCCCATGGCGGGGAGCACGGTCCCCCGCCAGCAACCTGGGGATGCTCGCCCTGTTTTTTTCTTTCCTTTTTATTATCTTTCTTGCTAAAAGTGGAGAGCGGGGACAGAAGTGGGAGTGGGACCCATTTAATCCCATTTACTCGGTGCTGCTTTACCCGTGCGTTAGCCGGGGATGCCCCCCAGTGTGGTGGTGCTGGGGGAGCCCTCCCTGGCTCAGCCCCCCCCTCTTCTCCCTCCCTGCAGGCACCCCCTCTCCCGGTGAGCCCCAGCAGCAGGTAGACGGCCCCGCGGTGCTGGGGGACCCCGGGCTGCACGTGCTGGGCTGGACACCCCATTCCCACGCACACTCCGGACCAGCCCTGAGGACCCCTGAGTTTCTACAGCACCGGCAGCTGCCGGTTTTGCCTGGGGATGCTGGCACAGCCACGTCAGACCCCATGCCGGATGCCGAGGGATCCATCTACGAAAGCATCTGGTACAAATCTGGGACGCTGAAAAAGCCCTGGGACGCAAGCAGCGCCCTGGGGGAATCCCCATCCCTGCCCGCTGGGGACGAGCCCAGCACCCCCATGCAGGAGGTCATCGCCCCGGAGGAGCCGGACAGCGAGGGGACCCCCAGCCCCGTGTACTCCCGGGGGTGGCCGGACAGCGAGGGGCCCCCCAGCCCCGTGTACGCCCGGGTGTGCAAGCTGCCTCAGGCGCCACAGCCCCGGCAGCCCCCCAGCCCCCCCGAACCCCAAGAAGAAGCACCTCCATCGCTGCCGGAAAAGTGCTTCGATGTGGCATAGGATGCCCCGGAGATGTTTTGGAGCTGCCTCGAGCCCGGCTGGTTCGTGCAAGCTTGATGGAGGGTTTTCCCGGCTGCGGGCAGGCCGCTGCGGGCAGGCACGGGCAGCGGCCCTGGAGAGCTGCCATCTCCCTTCCCAACTCTAAAATTAAGCCTAGGTGGCCCAGGTTATCCCCCAGCATCCAGCATGAGAGTCCCCGAGTGTCCCTCTGGGACATCCCCATTGCTGGGGGGCCCGTGGGGAGCAGGTGGTGAAGTTACCCCCGTGCAGGGTTGGCCAAAGAAGAATGGCAGAAGAAAAAAAGGTGATTTTTTTTTTTTTTTTTGGAAAAGCCCCAAGAAAAACCCCAAAATTTACTTCCACGCATCATCCGGCTCAGATGCCCTGGGGAAAATCACCCGTAGCATGGTCTTGCTTCCTGGAAGCAAGAGGTTATGGATGGGGAGCTATGTAAATAGTCCTTGATTGCTATTTTAATGATTTTTAATGAGTGTGCTGCACCCTGCTTCATCCCCAGGGTGGTTTGGATGGGCTCTGCCAGGGGAATGAGCACCCTGCAGCCAGGGCTCGGGCAGGGGTGGGGACAGTGGCCACATTTTGCTGGATCCTAGGTGTGGGCTGGCCTGATAGAGCGGTGGGACCCGGCTTATCTCCCCCCAAAAAAGCTGGCAGGGCCCTGGGGAGGCCTGGAGGGCAGCGTGTAATGGGAGCAGCAGTTACATGGGGTGGCTGAGATAACGCTGTTGTGCCTGCTCCTGGGATGTCCCCGTACCTTCGCTACAGCTGCAACCACCCACCAGCCCCAGGCAGCTCCATGGGGACTGGCATGGTCCCATCACCCCCCCTTTCTCACTCACCATCACCCTCACTTTGCTCTTTGATGGCAGCCACCAGCAGATTCGCATCCCAAAGCGGGGAGAACCAAGGAGCCCCCTTGTCCCCATCCCACCACTGCGGCAGGAGGGTCTGGCTGCTCCCGTCGCCCAGCTCTCCATCCCAGCAGTCATCCATCCTCTCCTTCCTCCTCCTCTCAGCATATAAACCTCCCAGGCTACAACCCCAAGCACTCCTCCTTCTCCCCTTTTTGCTCCCGAGCTCTGCATCCTGGTAAAACACCAAGCCGTGTCCCACCAGGACGTGGCATTGTCCCCCCAGATCCGCCTCACCAGGCTTTGCTTCTCCCCTCCTGCATCCGCCCCCACTGGCACCAATGCTGGTGGCTGACGTGCCGCAGGCCACACTGGAGAAGCCAGGGAGGAGACTTTGCTGCTGTGCGGTGGCTTTACTGGGTCTGAGTCAGAGAGAATTACAAAAAAAAGGGATTTCACTTTAAAGGGAAAAAAAACACCAAAAAAAAAAAAAAAATAGCCTGCGATGTTATTCCTGGCTCAGGAGCCGGGGACATTTCTATTTTCATTTGTTGCTAGTTGGAAGTGTGCTGCTGCGAGCGGTGGGATGAGTCATCTCGGCACAGCCCTGGCACGCCGGGTCCGGCACGGCTGTGCCGGCGCGGCCGCGTTCGGTGAGGCGAGGTTTGGGTGGCTCAGAGCTGCGGGGAGTTAAGAGGTTGCTGCTCGCCTGGGTCTCGCCCCTGCCCCGCAGAGCCACCACCCCCCAAGCACCCGCTGCCACCGACGGAAGGAGGTGCTGCCGCTCGGGGGCTGCAGGTAACTGACCCCCAGCGGGGTCAGGGCTGGTGGGATCTGTACGCTCATCCGCCTTCCTATACACTCACCTGCCTTCCTGTACACTCATCCACCTTCCTATACACTCACCTGCCTTCCTATACACTCATCCACCTTCCTATACGCTCACCTGCCTTCCTATATGCTCACCTGCCTTCCTATACGCTCACCTGCCTTCCTATATGCTCACCTACCCTCCCTATCCACTCACCTGCCTTCCTATACGCTCACCTGCCTTCCTATACGCTCACCTGCCTACCTATATGCTCACCTGCCTCACTATACACTCATCCACCTTCCTACACATTCACCTGCCTTTCCATACGCTCAACTGCCTTTCTATACACTCACCTGCTTTCCTATATGCCCACCTGCCTTCCCATACACTCATCCAGCTTCCTATACACTCACCTGCCTTCATATACACTCACCTGCCTTCCTATATGTTCACCCACCTTCCTGTATGCCCATCTGCCTTCCTATACGCTCATCTGCCTTCCCATATACTCACCTGCCTTCCTATACATTTACCCACCTTCCTATGCATTTACCCACCTTCCTATACAGTCCTCCGCCTTCCTATACTCACCTGCCTTCCTACACATTCATCTGCCTTCCTATACATTTATCCACCTTCTTATACACTCACCTGCCTTCCTATATGTTCACCCACTTTCCTATATGCCCATCCACCTTCCTATACACTCATCCGCCTTCCTACACACTCACCCACCTTCCTATACAGTCCTCTGCCTTCCTGTCCATAGGTGCCGTTGGCAGCATCCCCCCGAGCGGGAGCGGTGTCTCCGTGGGCAAGCAGCGGGGCAGCTGCGTGGCCGCAGACCACTCCACGCCGCCTGCAACCCTGTACAGAGATATTAAAAGTTGAGATTAAAGGAAAAAATTGCGTCTCCCCAACCACTTTCTCTTCTCACGGCTTTGCCGTCACCCGTGGCACCCGCCCTGCTCCTCTGCCACGGGGACCAACATCCCGAGCTGCATCCTGGCGCTGCCGGGAAGGAGAGAGGGGACGGTTCCCTGCCCCGTGAGGAGCGCGTGGGGGCTGGAATCGCTTCAAATGCCCCCGAAGGAGGTCTGGTGCTGCTGGTGGAAATCCATGGGAAACCCCATTTTAATAAGCAGCAAAAAACCCAACGCGGGGCCGAGGGGATGCGTAGAGGCCCCTGGCTGCTGCCCCAGCCTTGGGTCAGGTCTGACTCCAAGCCCCTCGCACCTGCGTTGCTGTAATTTTAGGGGCATAATAAAAAACACTGAATTTTTAGGAGGATGACATGTGAAGATCTGAAAAGACTTTGAAGATCTTCTTGGTTTGAGCCTGGTTGGCCCCGGCTCTCTCAAGAGGGGCGTGTTGGCATGCTCCCTGTCCCTTAACAAATATTAACCCATCAGTTTATTCGCACTGGGACGGGGATTTAACACTAACGACAACTCTACGGGTGCTGTAAAAATAAGGGAGTGGGGGTTAGAGCATTTGCAAGCTCGCCTGTCAACTGGAAGGGCAAATCTTTATGAAAGAGGATTCCCTTCATCCAGTTCTGCCAGAAGTATTTGGGTTTAGATTTAACAGATCTAAAAGAGGTGTCTGCTTCTCTGGCTGTTGTTGGGAGTTGTCCTTGAAGCACCCAGAGAAGGGGGTGGTGATGTTCCTGGTCTGTAGTTGAACAGGGATGGGAAATAACTCAGGACTTTCCTTCTCCACTGGAGAAGGAGAAGGCCAACCTTCTCTCTCTGGCCAACCAAAGCATCTTTCATAAAAAAAGGGTAAAAAAATGAATCAAATTATTCAAGTGAAAAACAAGCAGGAGGAGATCAAACCAACCAACTCTTACCTTCTTCCCTGTCATCTTTTTGTATCCAAAAATTCCCAGGCTAGGGTGAAGTTGCCTCCCATTCCATCTTCAGTGGCTGGCGGTTGTTGATGTGTCCTGCGAGATGGGTACAAGAGGATGGAGGTCAGAGAAGGTGGTGAGATGCTGCAGGGGAGTTGGTGACCCACTGGCACACCTGGGCTCAGAGGGAAGACCCTGCAGATGCAAAAAGGCATTCACCTTCTGAAACATTCACAGTATTTCACAAATATTGTGGCCAAGAGATGCACTGCAGGAGGATGGGCTGGCTGCAAAGAGAGGTGGCTCTGGGTGGTGGAGGAAAGCCCTGGGGCCGTCAGGAGGCCACCCCAAAACGCCAGCATCCTGCTGGTGGAGAGCAGCTCGCTGGAAAAACAAACAGACTCCAGGGCGACACACAACCCGTAAGGCAGGTGGTAGGGATTTTCTTTACGTGCCGCTCAAAGGACAGGCCAGTTAATTATTAATTTTCTATTATAAATGAAGCAGAGCGAAAGGCGGAGGATTGGCTGGGTGAAAATCTCGGGACTGCAGGGCAGGGCAGGTTGAGATCAACACGGGCAGGCCCAAGAAGAAACGTCTGTGATCCTGAAAACCCGCTCGGGGAGCGGCACCGAGATCTCATCTGCTGTCAGCAAGCCCTGGGTGAGGACAAATCCTGCCTGTGCCGTGTGTGTCCAGACAGAGGCCTCCAACCCCTCTCCCCTAGCTCAGATGGAAGATCTCCCTAGGGTGCTCCCAGCCCTGGGACCTTTTGGAAGGGAGGAGATCCAGGACAGGACAAGCCTTTGCTGAAACCCCCCCCATGAAGGTTCTTGAAGCCTTCCGCAACCTGCAGGTCGGTAACTTTGCGAGCCAGAACAGACATCTTTGGATGTAAGAGCCCTTCCATCTGTCTGTCCCATGAGTTTCTGGAGCCCTGCAAACCTTTAGCACCCGGAGCATCCTGCAGCAAGGAGTCCCACAGCTCCGCAGGGGACTGAGATGAAAGGCCCCGTGTGGGTTTGACTTGTTGCAAACCAGTTTCACTCATTATCCCATCTAGTAAAGGAAAATTCCCTGTCTCCGAGCCACTCACCATCTTACAGACCTCTGTCACACTCCTCCTTGGTCTCCTTCCTCCTCACCAGCGACATCATCTGTGCGCATCGCTGTTTCCCCCTGATATCAGAGCCGATACAGCTTTTTCCTGTAGAGGAGCTCCTCCACACCTCTCATCATCTTCATCGTATTCTCCAAACAAGGCGATTTCTCCCCAAACTGCTACGGTGTGCTGCCCGCTGAGATGCAGTGGAGAAGCTCCAGCTTGTGCCCGGTGGGTCTGACCCATGGTGAAGAGCCAGGATCCTTAGCCGGAGTACCCTGGCTTTTTTCCGAGGAGCTCTGTATCTCACCAGCTTGGATCCACTCAGCTTCCAAAATAAACCAAACTCAGATGCAAGACGGAGCCCGTGCCCGGTGCACTTGACTGAGTACTTTTTACAGCCCTGGAGATTGCTGAAACCATGTGGACTGCAAGGCAAGAGCAGTGCTGGGAGTGAAAGCGAAGAGTTAAAAATGAGCAAGCCAAAGGAAAGGAGGGGGGGGAAAAAAAAAAAGCAAAGAGGCCAGAGTTTAAAAAAATAAAAACTAGAAGGCAGCAAAGAGCAGAAAAGGAAACCTCGTGAGCATCTCTTCCCCTCTTGGCTTCTCCTCGCGCAGACCGCGAAGAGGAGGGGAGGTTGGAGCCCACGGGTCTGCTCCTGCAGCCGGGCTTGTCTCCCGGAGAAGTCCCCGCGACTCCAGCACCGAGCAAACCTCTTCCCTGACAAGAGCAGGAGAGGGGCTGTGAGCTCCTTAATGCATCTGCGTGTTTCCTAAACACCCTTAAGAGGCATATGCATTCCACAAAAAGCTGGTTATCGCTGGGCTTGAACATTTCCACGAAAGCCGGGAGCTGCGGCGAGCAGCTAAAAGCATCGTTTCCTCCGGTGGAACACGGCCGGGGCGCTTACACCCGCTCGGCAACCCACAATTTTGAAATGCGGGTTTTGGGATGAGTTCTTTAACGCAAGAGTGGGCTCTGCTCCCCCGTGGGCCCCCCAGCAGCCGCTGGA